GCGTTACTCCGCGTATCACATCTGATAAGAACAATAATCAAACAAATAAGTCACATGAAAAAAAAAGTACTTTCCTATTTCCTTCGTCTTACCCTTCCCCTTACTTCTCTCACTTTTTCTGGTGTTTAGTTTCCTTGAGCGTGATATTTCAGGTTTTCATTTTTTTTTTCTTTAATTTTTTTATCTTGATGACCAGTTTTTAACATTTTTTTCTTTTTTAGGCATTGTTTCTTAGCCCTTTGGATACATAGAAACTTGGTGAGAACATCTGCAAATGTATTTTTTCGAATTTATTTATTCCAACAAAGCATTGTTAACATTCAATTTTTCTCTTTTTTTAGATGGTTGATGTTTAAAACAAAATACTGAAAGTTACCAGCAGCGCCAAGGAAAAATAGTTTTTTATGAATAAATTTTGGTGTAAACTTGGCCCTTTCAGACTTTTTTTTTTATTTTTCTTTTAATGAAATGTTACTAATAGTTCTTTCTTTTTTTCTTTTGTAGATGATTCTTTGAGTCTCTTGGACATATATTTTGGTAAGTGAAGTATTCTTTTTACTTAAATCAATTCTTTTAGCAATATGTTTGCTAATATTTCATTCATCTTCACTTTTTTTAGAGTCATCTGGACGCATTAGATTTAGGTAAGATATTTTTTTTACTTTGTTATTTGTTTTAACAAAATAACGAAACTTTTACTAGTAACAATTCATTTTATTACTTTTTTTTAGACAGTTTCTTCAAATATCTATGGACATGAATTTCGGTAAGGTTGGAAATCCGGTTCTCCCTAGATGCATTACGGTATGTGTTTAAATATTTTTTCTTTGTCTTTTTTTTTTATTTTTAACAAAATGTAACGTCTGCTAATATTTTGTTTGTTTTTTTAGTTGCAGATTTTAGGCAGCTTTTGGGTGACGAAACGACTTATTGCTCCGGACTTACAACGGTTCCCGTTTCCCTAGTTGTATTTATATTTTTTAGTTACCGCAGATGAATGAATATCCGAATAAAAATAGTGTTATTGTCATGGATAACGCAAAAATTCACCATGATGAAAAATTAGTAGAATCAATTGAACAAATGGGATGTGAAGTACTTTATTTGCCTCCATATTCTCCAGATTATAATCCGATTGAAATGGCATTTTCTGGAGTTAAATCATGGTTAAAAAAAAATAGAACATTTGTAAAAATTGTAATGATCCAAAATATCCACTTTTATTAGCATTATCTCAGGTAACACCTGATATGGCAAAAGGTTATTTTAACAAATCAATTTATTTGTATTAATCTTAGATTTTTTTGTTACATTATAGAGTTTATTTTATAGTTTATTTTAAAATTTTAAATAAAACGCAAAAAACTTTGTAATACAAAACTATCATTTATTATTAGCAATTACATAACTCAAATAAAGCGGTGTAACATAATAGAAATATTGTAACGTAAATCAATAACAAAAAAAAATTATTTTTTATACAAAAAAATCAGAGAAAATTTTTTGCTTCTTTAATTAAGTTTAATCTACGACCAATTATTTCTATTCCAAATTCATTTAATAAAACTTCAGGATTAATTTCTGCAAGTTGTGATACTGTAATTTCCTCCTCTTCAAATTTTTGTAAATAAATTGTATATCTTGCTTCTCCAAACTTTTTGTCAAGAAGTTCTAAAAAATCTTTTATAGATGGTTCTGTAATTTTATAAGATAATGAAGGTGTAGATTGTGAAGTTTGTGATGCTACATCTAAAGTTGAAGCAAATTGTATATGTGATGATGATGGCAAATATGACAATGCTTGTGATGATAGATACGAAAATAAATGTGATGGTGGATATGGTGGTGGATAAGGTGGCCATCCCAAATAATAAGAATGAGAATTTGGTGGAGATACGTATTGTTGTTGGTAATAATTTGCATTATTATCAGATATATTATTATTTGTTGGTGATGATGATCTTGTTGAAACTTTTAATGAGTTCGCCATTCCAAAATTAGGATGCAGTGACGGAGTTTCGTAGTTACAATGATTTTTATACTACAAATAAATAACATGTTAAGTTATATTAATGAAATAAAAAAATTAAAATTTATATATATTATACATACAATTTCATCTGTCCACATAGACAAATGTAATGTTGTAAGAAGTAAATGTCTGTCATCTTTGATATAACAATATCCTGTTTTATGGATATTGCATTCATGCATTTCCTTAAGTTTTTTATGGATTTCTTCCTTTTTGAAATCAATATCATTTAAATTATCTTCTTTAGGAACACGAATTTTTTTTTATTTTTTTACTTGGCAGTTAGTTCCAATTCATCATCTTCGCTCACAGATTCATTACCATCTGATATCTCTAAACTCTTCTAATAAAAACACAAATAATTAATTATAATAAATTAATAGTATCCTTTAAAAAAAACTATAATACCTTTTTTCTTTTTGCCTTTTCTTTTTGTTTAACAGTTGCTGTAATCAATAAAGTCTTATCAGAAATAGTCAATCTATGGTACTCCCTTATAAATTCTTCAAAGTCCTCTTCTTCTTCTAAAATTGTACCAGCTCCTGTTCCTTTTTCTGCTTTATAAGACAATTCATATTTAGTACGAACCACTAAACCAACTGTTTTGCAAACTTTTTGCAATACTAAATCATCAAATTCAAAGTAAGCTGGTATTTTTTCTAAGATAATTGCTTTTGCTGGTTTAGTCAAATCAGGTGTTTTAATTACTAGTTTGAAATGGAAAGGAATATCAGAATTAGAATTAAGTACATTATTTAGTTTAGAAGGATTGAGTGGCTTTATAGGCGTCTTTACAGTTTGGTTTTCTTTCTCATCAATTGAAATTAGATTATTTTTATTATAAGTATTTTGATCTCTTAAAAGTTGGCTGTTACTAAGGTTGCTTGCCGAAACCTAGGGGTTTAGGCAAGATGGCGTTTCGCCAAAGAGCGAAATTCTGCCAAAACTATATTAAAGTTATATTAAAAAACTGGCGAAACTCTGGAGAAAGGCGAAACTGCCGAAACTTATTATAAATGCTGAAACTGCCGAAACTCTGCCGAAACTATAATAAATCTATAGTAAAATTTTGACGAAACTAATCGTAGGATTTTGAAGAGGTTTAGACAAGCAACCTTAGCTGTTACACTTCGCACATAAAGTAAAATTAAATTTTTTTGATAAATCATATTGATATTTATGTATATCATTATTAAATTATAATAAAGCAACCAATATAGGATGACTTTCATTATGTTTATAAACTCCATTTCTGACATGACCAACTTGTAACTTTTTAGTTTTACTGCTATTTGTAGGTTTAAGAGTCTTTTCACAATTGCACACACTTCCTTCAGCCAAATTAACACCACAATAAAGGCATTTTCGACACACAAAACAAGTTCCTATCTCGTATTTCCATTCTTTAGTAGTAATATTAAAGTTTTTTTCATCTTCAAAGTTTTACACGTTCGCGAAAGTCACGAACTCGATTTATAATTCATATAATAATTTGCATGTAACAAGACCAAGTAAATGATTGGATAAATTTTAATATTACACATGATTTCAAGTTTCGAGTTTCGCACGTGTTTAGTGTTACTCTAAAATTACCAAAATACACTTTTCTGAAAACTGCAATAATTGAAAATTTCAATGAACTTCCATCATATCGAACCACAGAAAACTTTATTATTCCACAATTTGAGCTTGATGTCTTTGTAAATATTGATAATAAAGAAAAAGCAAGTGAATGGTTTATGGCATTTGAATCTAAATCAAAAATAACAATGCTGGAAATTAAACGTTATGAGTTCAAAGAAAAACATGTACTTTTTCGCAAGATGAGGCATTGTATTCATAGTGATAAGGTTAAAAAAAAATAAGGTAGTCGAGAAATAAAATGCCAACAATCATCTCAGTTACGAAATACAAATTGTACTTCGACCATACTTTACTAAAAATGACACTTTTTTTGATATATATTTGTAATATTTCTGTAAGCCTTACAAAAACTCTACAAGAACATTTTGTTATATATTACAACCATGTTATCTAGGCTTATAATTTCATCTCAGCATTTTTGAAATTATTTTTTTATATTTTTGTCATACATTTTAAATAGATTTTGAAATAAATATTTATTATTTTAGTAATTAATTGCACAATAGATTTTTAATTAATTTGAATAATTACACAATCCTTTACACAATACATTGAAATATTACTATAATATATAATTAATTATATTGCAGTATAATAGAAAACATTACGTACGTAATACACATTATTTTCATCATGCCTTCCATTATCACAACCTGATTTTCGACATTGATGTACAAAATGCACATTTGGTTGATGATCCACCCATTTAACTACATAAATTTGACGCCATGTGTGATCAGCTGATCGTTGAAGTCTATAACGTGAACAATCCAATTTTGAATCATTAGTATTTAATGAAATAAACCAATCTAATATTAAAAAAGGAATTTCTAATTGATCTTTAGTATGAAGAAAAATTGCCTGAATTCGCGCATAAGAAACTATTGTTGTTGCTTCATTTTCACCATCATTAATTGTATCAGTCGATATATCTTCCAGAACATTAATAATATCACCAACACGAAGATTCACGTCAATTTGATTGTTATTCTCAATTATAGAATAACTAATACTTTTAAAGTATTTTACCTTTCGTGATGCAATATGTTTAATACAATTAAGTTCTTCTTGATATGCGCATTCAAGTTCAGAAAATAAATTATCATTAAGAATACCTTCTAAGCCAGCAGCTCGTAAATCATTCTTTTTATATCTTCCTTGAACTCTCATATTGATATAACTTTCATCCATACATGTTATTTGTGAAATATTTGTATCCTTTTCATATTCCAAATCAATCATTTGCGGCGAAATATACCATAAATTAAGAAGTAGGTGTATACAATAATCTTTTGATAACATATTAAAATCAAATTGTTTTATTGAATTATACCTTTCATCAGTGCCTCCATCTAATAAAAATCGCAGGGTTTGTAAGCAGTTATCCCGATGTACAAAGTCTAGTTCAATATCCTTTTTATTTGAATGAGGAACGATGCCTTTATATAATCTGTGCATCATTTCCTTTGTGGGAACAGCCGTGTTTACTAGTGTTGCAAAATTTTTTGCATGCATAATAAAATGACATTGAATATGAAAATTTGGTAGTCGGGTAATATTAGGAAAAATCTAAAATTAAATAAATAATCATCAATAAATTAAATATTTATAAAATTACGCACTATATATATATTTCATTAATATATATATATCTTACCTTTGCAACTTGTATAGCCCATTGCATTAAACTTTGTTGCAAATTATTGTAACAATTTTCAGAAAATTCTTTGTGAAATACCAAATATACCATTTTGGAAAAAGAAACCCATAAGTTTAGCAACCGATCTATCACCTGATTTTTTGTAATATTGTATACTTTAATTAAATGTTCAGTAAACGGCTTGTTTAACAATGTAACATTAGTTATTGCTCGATTAATAAGAAATGGCATAATCATGCTTAAACGAAGATAGTCAGAAAAAAAGTACGAGCCTAAATGGGTGATTGGATTTTGTTGGCGAGACCAAGTTGAAGGAAATTCAAAGTTACGCCAAGTTTTCAAAAATTCTTCCTCTCCCACTGCAGTTAATATTTCAAAAGTTGCTTGGAGCATTTCTTTAACTATGCCACCTATGCAGTGAAATGCATCATGTGGACACTGAAAATGCCGATCACGCATAACGTTATCAAAGACAGAAGGATTTTCTTGAATACCATATTCCATAGTAAGAAAATCTCGTTCAGTTTGAGTTTGTGTATTTCTTACTTCAGCAAATTGTAATGTGGTCTTGTGATGATACCGTCCATATTTTGCAATATCAAAAGAAATATCATGTAAATTATTATGGTGAATCATACAGTTACGACATCCATAATATGCATTATGATTCTTTACTCCTGCTTGTTCATTACCTTCTGGTAAATCACTAGTAATAACACCTAATCCACCAGTGACCCATACGCGTTGATTATTAATTTCTAATTCGTATCCACGCTCAAGTTCTTGAATATCCTTAATAATTGGTTGAAGCACTTCGTCACTTGCAGCTGCGTAAGGAATAAAACCATAAAGAAAATGGTTTTTAAGTTTTTGCCGTAAAATTTGTTTCATGTTACCAATTTGTAAATAAATACCACCAATGGCATGGTAAGCATTACGAAATGGACCAAACTTGTCAATGTAAATATCTAAAAAAAATCTATATGTAGGTAAATTAGAAGGTGGGTTTTGAATAGTTATATATTCAACAGGATGGTGATGTCGTAAATCAATTGATCGTGTAATCCACCACCCATTAATATAATACACAATTTCAGTTATAAAATGTGAAAAATTACTAGGTTCACTAATATCAGTTAACCAGATATCTACCTTTGATATAATATTTGCAGGTTTGATAATAAGTGTATCGTCTGTCATCCATAGACATCCATCTTGAGAAGCAACTTTTCTATGTTTAGATTTTAGTATTGAAGGTAATGAATCAAATTCAAAAATACACTCAATTTTAATACACATGTCTTGAGAATCATCAATATGTAATATAGATATAATTCTACCATAATATGTTTCACTTGTACGTACGTCATAATATATGATAAAATCACTGAGACCATAAACAACTAATAGAAATTAATTAATATAATATTACAATTGCAATAAATTTTTATGTTAATTACACAATATTTACCATTGTTCAATCTGATGCTTATTTCACCAAATAATGGTGATTTGTGCCAGAGTTCTCCGTGCCATATTTCACATTTGTTTTCACAATATATCCCTGGACTAAGGTTGCTTGTCTAAACCTCTTCAAAATCCTATGATTAGTTTCGTCAAAATTTTACTATAGATTTATTATAGTTTCGGTAGAGTTTCGGCAGTTTCGGCATTTATAATAAGTTTCAGCAGTTTCGCCTTTCTCCAAAGTTTCGCCAGTTTTTTAATATAACTTTAATATAGTTTCGGCAGAATTTCGCTTTTGGGCGAAACGCCATCTTGCCTAAACCCCTAGGTTTCGGCAAGCAACCTTACCCTGGACCAAAATACATGTGTTCACGTAATTGTGGGTTTGCTAATATACGATGAAGAATATCTTTCAAAGGAAAAATTAAAGCTTGATCTGTAGATTTGGATGTAGATGGTGTGTTGCGATTATTAAGGCTGACAGTATGACCTTTAAATGGAAGAAGTGGTAAGCCATCTCAGTATTTCTTAATAGTTGCAAGTGATATTGGAACATCTTTTGGATTGAATTTGGGATGTTTAATAATATTTGCAAAATCCCTATAAGCTTCTAAACCTGATAAAAAAAATTATGATTAGAAATTTCATATCAGTAACAAAATATCAAAAATAATTCATGTTGATTTGAGAAAATCAGTTGTATATTACCTATTTGATGCTTTGTAATCCACAAAAATAATAAGAGCATAGTGTAATTTGGAAAATATGGTCCTGCTTCATTTCTAGAGTAGTGATTTTGTTTTTTATTTCCATCATACACCTTTTCGTTAAATTCTCTATTTGTTTCTTGGTCATCCCCAGAATTATTATAAAAATCATCACTATCGTTAAGATCGTTAAAAAAATTGCCATTATTATCAAAAATACTATAAAGATCATCATTTTCATTAATAGGAGTGTCTTCGGGTTGTAATAGGGTTCTATTTTTTTCGTGTAGAGTGTCTTCAGGTTGTAATAGAGTTTTATTTTTTTCATGTATTTGCGAGTTAATATTTATATTTGTGAAAGGGGAAGTTGTATCACTTGATAAAACATGACTGAATATATTTGGACTTTTTACTCATGTACGTTTGGGTTTTCATAAACGAAAATCAGATGTTTGTTGTTGTTGATCAGCTCTAACTTGCCTTAAAAACATGATTTAAAAGTTTGAAAGGTATTTTTTTTTTCGGATTAATTCATTCCTTAAAATTGCAAATTTTTATTTATGATTTCACTATATTGGTTATATAGTTACATCATAGTATAATAATTTCGATAATAATTAGTAAGATGATGACTAACCTGTAATAGTTTAATTAGTTTAATTGAGTTTAAATAGTCTCAATTAATAATCGGTAAGACGATAAAAATTTAAATTATACTTTTTTTTCATTTAAAATTTTTTTAATTAATTTAAAAAATGCCTCGTCCTCGTAAAAATACCAAACGTACTGCAACTAGAAATACGCCTCAACCTACTAATGAACCATCAACAACTTTTACTATACCTTCAATTGTTATTACTGATGATGTACTGAGCGTTACAGATAAGAGTAAGACGAAAGATCTAATAATTTAGTAAATTAAATTAATTAATAGAACTTTACATCTTATAGCAAAAAAAGATCTGAATGAACTAGACGACAATATTAACACTTCAAATTTACCAAATAAGTATATAAAGCTTAGTAATGAAAAAAGTATGTTATTAGGATTGTTTTCCGTATTTTGTTTTTTGTATTTATAAGATCTAACTAATGTAAATCAAATTTATAAAAATGATGAAATGTAATCAAGAGGTTGATAAAGTTCTGGTTCATAAAACTTCAATAGAAATTAATGATGATGATATAAATGATGATGATACGATTGATACCAATGCAGATATTTATATTGCAATTCAACCAGAATCTTCTTCAACAAATGCGGAGCTATCTAAAAATGCAGTTCCATTTAAAGATGATACCGTTCCTTCTACAAAAGACCAAGATTCAGCAGCACTTATAACATCCCTTACATCTAATAATTTTACGCCAATATTTGCTGCATTGTTTCAAGCAATGACTTCAAGTATAATTACAACAACTACAGGATCCTTGGCTGCTAATTCGACAACCACTCCAACAGTAACTAATACTAATATGAATAATACAATCTCAAATAATGTAAGTAGTATTTTATCAAGTAATTTTTTCAAATTAACGTATAAAATAAATTATATCTAACTATATATTTTATAGACTCAACTTGCCACATTATTTATTAATGAATCAAAGGTTCTTTTTCTCTGTATACGTAAACCAACACCCGAATTAATTTTATCATTAGGCAGAGAATGTGCCAGACATCTTGGTATCACTGAATTAAAAGCTGGCGAAATAAAGAAAAAGGGGTGTGAATGGTTCGAGTACGATTGTATGACCAATGTACTGAGATGGCCTTTAATTTTTTAGACCACTACAGGTAAATGACTTCTTGTATAATTTTTTTTTTAACGTGTTATACTAATAGGCTAATTATGATTATTTTATTATTTTTATGTAGTGTAACTATGAGCAATCTTCCAAATTCATCTCACCTTCGTAACTTTGTGGATACAGATGATATTTTCAACATATTTGAACCGCAATTGAAGCAAATCAAAAAAGACCGATTACTTGAAGATCAATCTTCGTTAATAATGCTTAAAAATTACTTAGTGGAAGTTATTTTAATTATGGTTTGTTACTTTGTGTGCAAAAATGTTGATCTAACTATATATAACAATGCTACAAAAATTCGACGTACAGAATGGCGAAGTGCTATATTGGGTGATTTACACGCTCTTGATCATATGACTAAGGTTGCTTGTCTAAACCTCTTCAAAATCCTACGATTAGTTTCGTCAAAATTTTACTATAGATTTATTATAGTTTCGGCAGAGTTTTGGCAGTTTCGGCATTTATAATAAGTTTCGGCAGTTTCGCCTTTCTCCAAAGTTTCGCCAGTTTTTTAATATAACTTTAATATAGTTTCGGCAGAATTTCGCTTTTCGGCGAAACGCCATCTTGCCTAAACCCCTAGGTTTCGGCAAGCAACCTTACATATGACTGTTGATTTGCATATTATTTCAGAAAGTGGAATTACAATCGCACAAGATATTAATATTCGTGGCCATATGAATTGGAATTTATCATAATAATTGTTAAATGTAAATAAATATAGTACATACTAATTAATACTATTGAAATTTGAAATTATATATATACATTTCAAAGCATTACAAATATATTTCAATGTATTATTACTGAATTGTAATACGTAACCATTGTAAATATTGCGAAATATAAAGAACATATTTTAAATTAATTTCAGTTAGTTTATTTTTGTAGTATTTTTGTTATTATTTATAACTTATTCATAAACCATTACAAAATATATTTCAGATATAATACAAATATAATTTACCATTACAAAAGTGTATCATAATTACATAAATACTACCGAAACACCACAGAAACATTACAAATATATATCAAAAAAAGTGTCATTTTTAGTAAAGTACACCTTCGACTGGAACGTTGGCATATTGAATTAAGTCATCCCCTGGAAATCAACATCAAATTCACACATAACCATGTAATTATTTCAGTAGAGTTATTAAGTTTTCGACGTGTCAATGAAAAGGTTTGTGAAAGATTCCTGGAGCTATTTAAGGATGGTCACTTTCCAGCATCTGCTATGTACACACATGAAGATGAACTTTATCTTAGTGCAGCTGATGAACAGAAGCTTTTGTTGTTACTTGCTAATTGAGCAAGTAGCCTGGATTATGACCATATTTTTAATCTGTTTCCAAGAATATGATTCACGTAGTGGAAAAGCATTTATCTTATGTGTGGTTACTAGCTTAATGAGCAGAGTTCACGAAAAGATCTTACAATCCAGTGAAATTTGTTATATGGATGCTTCTGCATCTTTTGAACCTTTAAACACATCAATAACTTTACTTTACACAAGTTGTGCAGTCGGAGTCCTTCCTCTTGGATTGTTTATTACTTCTGATGAGCTCGAAATAACGTTAGAGAAAGCATTAAACCTATTAAAGTCAATTCTTTCACAACATGCTTTCTATGGACGTGAAGCATAACTCAGCCCAAAGATTTTCCTCACAGATGATTCAAGCGCAGAGCGGAATGCGTTAGAATTATGTTGGCATGAAAGTAATAATTCCATTTTGATTTATTGTTAATATATACCAATAATGATTTTAAATTAATTATTTAATACTAATGAATGATTTTAAATCAATTATTTAATTTAATGTTTTTTTGAACAATAGAATAACAATTTTTTTATTAGGTTTATTAATTATTTAATTTAATATTTTTTTTTTATAATTTTATTTAATCAAATATTTTTTTATTAATTATTTATTCAAATTTTATTTATTCAATAAATTAAACGATTGAAATTAATGATTTTTTTTATAAATTAATTTTTTATTGTAATTTGAAAGGTATTCGCCTTCTCTGCACTTTTTATGTCTTGCAAGCGTTTTGGAGGTAGTTGCACAATTCGAAGCATTATATCAATAAAGCAGATCATGAACCCATCATGTAAAAGATGAAGGAAATTCTTTATGCACCTTCGGATTTGGAAATGCATAAGTATTACTGTGAATTTAAGCAAAGATTTTATAGTCAATATCCTCAATTACATAAACACTTTGAACTCATGTGGGTGCGTCGTAATATATGGGCTCTATCATTTTGTTCTGAACTTCATATTTGAGGAAACAACATGAATAATTATATTGAAAGAAGTTTCAGAATAATAAAAGATATAGTATTTGCAAGAATACAAGCGTATAATTGCGTATAAGTTTTTCAATTCATCACTCAAAACATGGAGAGGTTCTATTCACTTCGGTTGTTAAATTTTACACATAGACGTCCAGGATACTTGCGAATAGCAAAACACTTTCTATGTCCAGGATGGGATACTGTGAATATGGATTCTATCAAAAAGCATAGCATAGAAAATGAATTCTTTGTAGAAAGTGTGAATAACTCCAGTCATTTCTATACCGTAAATAGTGAGATTGGAACCTGTACTTGTCGAATTGGGATAACCGGTGCACCTTGTAATCATCAAGGTGCAGTTTCAGTAAAATTTCATATATCAATGTTTAACTTTATACCATCTTTGACTTCTAATAACTGTATAATTTATGCTTACATTGCAATCGGTAAGAAAATAATTAAAAAGTAAATTTTGTGATTCCACATTAATTTTAATTTTTTTCCTTTAGGTTATACTGCAGAGGACAGTTCCTTTTACGCATCATTACATGCAGAATTTATTCCACAAGACCGAGAAGGTTTATAAATGGAAATAACAACGCCAAATAGCAATTTAACTATCGAGTATAGGTAAATTCTTCCTTAATAATTTGGTATAAAATTACAAATTCTTATTTAAATACTTTATTTTGTAGTGAATCAAATAAAAATGTCAAGGATGATATTACCACATTTATCAATTTTTTGGAAGAAATCAAGGAAGATATTCAAATAGATGCGCACAATTACATACTGCACTAAACAAATTTGCAGAACGTTATAAAGCAGGAAAATTGAAATCTATCCCGTGGTTAGTGTTCTTTCTTTATGATATTAATCGTGAGTTGGACCCAGCAGTTAATATCAGAAGTGGATTTATGATTCGCGTGCAAGTTGAATCTGTAAAACGATGAAAAACAAAAGGATCGAAACGTAAGCGAAAACCATTTTCCATTACTAATAATAAGGAAAATCTGGAAAACTCAGACCTTCATCAGATCATTCCAGGTCGAAAAACAAAGAAAATTGGCAAAAAGTAACATAATCTGAGCCAACGTTTTATACTTATATTTTATAATAATAATTACACATTTATATGCGATAGCATTTATTTTTATCAATTATAAGGGTTTATACATCCTATAATTAAAATATTTTTTTAACAAATAAATTTAATTTTTCACATTTTTAATGTTATTAATTATTATATATTATTATTAAAAACTCGAAATTAAAATTTATAAAAAAAGAAAAGAAATCCAGCACGATATGGAGGATTTGTTTATCGGCGTGACACGATTTTTCTGATTAATAAATCACGTGATTGTAGCCGTGGCGCTGTGGCCGTGCCATTAACCTGGCACACAATACAGACGTGCCTGAAATGGTCGAAATTACGTCATAGTCATATGATTTTATAGTAAACAATAATATTAAAATTCAAAGTTAACGAACTCCGCATCCAGTAATTCGATTTTTATGATCTTTACACGGTTGGATTCAGCTCATCGAGAGGATTCCAATGATATGTATTTCATATCTGTAGCATCAATATTGACGGAGTTATTCACGTTTAAAATTTTATATTAAATTATAATTATAAAAATCACATGACTATGATGTAATTTCGACTATTTCGACTTTAATTTCAACTTTTGACCTTCCCAAGTCAAAATATTTCTACTTTTGGGCTTTAATTTCGACTTCATGTATAGTTGGTTAAGCAAACTCAAAACCTACCTTTATATATATTGTTCGGGTCCTATCATAATAGATATTTTCAAACAATAAAAATAATTATTTTATGTCAGAGTTTGTATTACCATCTTTAAATGCAAATATATCAAGATTCACTGATCCGTTTTCTATAATTTTAAGCTCGTTGGAAAGCCCTTGTTCTGGACTTTATAGGCGAAAAAAGAGCTCGCCAATTGAATAATTAGATCCAGAGATATTTACGTTTAAAGTTAAGGTATAAACTTTTTAACATGCTTAAATGCAAATATCTTGGGATCCACTGATCTATTTTGTATAAATTTAGGCTCTTTGGAAAGCCCTTGTTCTGGTCTATATGAACGAAAAAAGAGCTTGCCGATTGGATCACTAGATCTGGAGATATTTACGTTTTAAGTTGAGATATAAATTTTTAACATATATAGTAAGTGCTAAGAATCATTAAATAAAAATTTTTTAATACTTATTCCCAATTTACTGTATATTATATAGTATTTTATATAATAAAAATGTAATAAAATTAATATTTTAATTAAAGGTAAACAAATCAGCCCATATGTTTGGCTAATTATTAACCAATAGAATTTAAGAAAAAAGTAAGGTAAAAACTATTAGTAAAAGGTCAATTTTCTACGGTGACCTTTATTATAAGTAAGCGGGGTTCTGGTTCAACCTCATCCCAAAAAATATAAAAAGCTCACTTCTGATCCTACATTTAAGAGTCGAAGAATTTTTACAGAGAACTTAGTGGCAGTTCATAGTTGCAAAACAGAAGTTACATATGGGCCGATTTGGCTCACATCACTAATAAATAAAAGTGATAAATGTGAATTTGATCGACATGTCAATATACAAAAATAGTGAAAATAGTAATAATATCAAATAATGCATGATGACGTATATTTTGATTTTGCTTTTAAGCCAATTGTCAAAGATTTCGCACACTTGCAAAACTTGATTTCTCAATGTCAAAGCCTGTCGGGAATTGGTTTGGAATTGGTTTTTTTTGGAAGGAATTTATTTTTTTTGGAAATGGTAAGTGGTAATGTAAAATTATTTAATAGAAAGGTTATTTGGTAAAATGGCAAAAATAACTCTTATTACGTTAGAAAAAAACAAAAATAATATGTTTTCATATATTTATTAGATAACATTAATTCGTGATACGTGAGTCAACTGCAAAAAAATGTCGATCATTATTATAGATCAACGGTGATAATAGTTGTTATTAATTTCACACTATCTGAGAATCTCGCACTTTTTAAATAATACCATCTCAAACTATTAGTCAAATACGTGTTAAATAATGGGTAAACGAAAAGAATATCAAGTTAGTTTAGTTTCTCTTGGCTTTATAGACGAAAACTTACATTATGGACCATTTTCTCGAGATTGGTGGGAAACGCGATGCGTAAAAAATATAACTAAAACTCCAATATTATATCCTATTCGTATAAATATGAAAACTTTAGTTATTCTTCAAAATATACAATTTTTTGTTACTGTTATTCAAGGCCATATTGGTTCTTTGCAACAACCAGGATATATTTGTGAAGCAGGAGATCTAAAAAGCGCTGTTTTTAATAATCCTTCAGGTGCCATAACTACACTTTATCAACAACTTTTTAAAAATAACACACGATTTTCTGGTTCTCTTATTATGGGTCATGATAAAACAGAAATTGGAGAAAAACTTTTAAAGGATGTTAATTTTCGTCCATTTTGTTGTTGTCTTGGAAAATTCTGGTTATTTGTATATGGAATTGGTATATCTTCAGATGAACAATTATATTATGCGGGTCCAGGTTTTAGATCATCTTTTTATTATTCAATTGGAGCAAAGAAAAAATGAACTTTATTTGTACAAGAGATAAATAAAAAAAATTCAATTATAAAAATGTATCAAGATTTTGAATTACGATATACATATACTGGTAATAGTCCTAATGATGTGTGGCAAAAAGTTGGCGTATTACAAGAACATAGAGGCGTTGATTTATTTGGAATCAGTCACCCTCAAATTCATACATTTATTCAAACACAACTTATACCAAGATGTCCACCTGATGAATGGCATTTTATTAATAAAATGCAAGCTTTATGGAATTATCACTTGCGAAAATTTACATTAGCTTCTATTAAATGGAATGAATTTTTTATTGAATGGTATAATGAAACGAAAACTGTAGTTGAAATTACCACCTCTTTAAAAAAATTATATCCACCAAACTATATAATTAAAGAAAGAGAAATGCGTGCGTGGCGAACAATGCTAAATCATGCAGGATGTACCAACATCACACCTTATACAAGAGATGTATCTCCAGTAAGTTATTGAGAAAATAAATTATGAATTTTACAACATATTATTTACTTACTTGCATTTTTTAGTATGAATTTTGGACGCGATCTGGAGATCCATCATGTGATCGTGAAATTTTACATTTTTTATATACGTTAGAATTTTTGCATCCATTTCCTGGACAGTATCGCAATGATGGGGATATTTTCTGGAACTGCTTTCATCAAGCACTAGAAGCTAATAAAAAAGGTTATGATGGGAAAAGAAGAATTCTCTCTATTATAGCTGAAAAATTTTCTTATAATATTTTGATGGAAAAATTAAAAGTAAGTATATATGATTAAATGTACGTAAAAAAATTTTGGAATTATATTTACCTTCATAAATTGTGTAGATTGCACAAGGTACAATTTTTGAGGCGAAAAAATATGCAAGAATTAATGGTCCTGGTTGTGTAGTAATAGAAAAGCCCATCAGAAAAGTCAAAAGAATTACCTCCGAACAAAAACAACAATTTGATTCATTTTTTCAAGATAAAGCTCATGTTATTATGAGTTCTTATAAAACAGATGCTAAAACAGGACAACCAGTAGTTTATTTAAAAAATACAAAAAACTTATTGTGGGAAAAATTCAAAGAAAATTTTCCAAATGGAATTAAACGCATAACCTTTTACACTCAACTGATAGGTCGTCAATATATTTACCGAGAAGATCTTGGAGGATTATGTTTTACATGTAGTACATATGGGTATGAAACGTTTGAAGAAATTATAAATCTAATAAAAGAAAAAATAAATGATGTTGAATTACAGGTAAAAATAAAATTTATTATGAAAGTTTTGATATATTCATTATATTAATAAATGTGTTAAATGGCGTTAATTTTGCATAAATATACATATATACTAATCTTAAATAATGAATTTTAGGATATTTTTTCTCAACGCTGCCATTTTTTAAAATGCTATTTAAAAAAAGAATATGAAGAACATTTAGTTGTAACTGGTCATGGAATAACATCTCATGACCCATGCATAAACCATTGCTTGTTATATGCATTTGGTGAATGCAATACCCCTCATACCCATGTTTGTAATGAATGTCAAAAAATATTCCAATTTTTTCAGGATTTAAAAAATAATTTAGGTTTATCTTACCATGAAGAAATTCAAGAATATCAAAATCGTATACTTTACTATCTTGCACATCAAACTAGAAAGACTTATTTGAATGCACAGTTTAATGCAGCTCTTCTGGATTTAAATGAAGATAGCGCACTATTAGTTGTTGATTATAAAATGAAGATATTGCCCAAAACTGCACGTGAAACTAAACAAGAATTTTTTGGAAAAAAGGGTTGGGCACTACATACAGTTTTATTGTATACTAAACCCAAAGAAAGTTTTGAAATCAACATACAAGCTATAGATCATTGGTCTACAGATGCTCGCCAAGATGCATGGTTTTCTGCATGTTCGTTGCATTCTGTAATTGAAAATTTAGACATTAAACCAAAGTGGATTAGTATAATTTCTGATAATGGTCCACATTATCATAATTCAGAACTTATGATTATTATGAGTAAATGGTATGAGTGGTATGGAATTCAAGTAAAAAAATGGATATTTCTTGAAGCAAGTAAAGCTAAAACCACTGTAGATTCGCATCATGCTCAGGTTTGCATTTTTTTTTTTTTTTTTTTAAAAAAAAAAAAAATAAATAAAAACTTACTGTGACTAATAAAAAATTAGATATCACTTTCTATAAAACGATATATTCGAATTGGAGGAGAAATTCAAGAGGGTAGTGATATCACATCAGCTATCAAGAATATTGCTGGCACTTCAGTTGCCCATATAGAACCAAATCAAATTAAAGGTGAGCGCTATTTTTATTTTTTATAATGAAGAAACATTCACACTAATTAATAATAACAATTTATTAACAGAAAATAAAGGAAAATCTATGACTATACCAGGTATATCCAATTGGTTTGAGTGGACCTGGCCAATTGAAGGTGAAGATGCGGGATATATAAAAGCACGAGCTATGCCAAATGTTGGAAAATGGACATTATTTTCTCCCGCTCATATTCAAAAATTATTGAAGGGTGAAATTAATCAACCATCACCACAAGTATCTGAAACAACAAAGCCCAAATCTCCATGGAAAATACCAATTCCACATTCGTCAGGTAAAGTGGCAAATATTGGTTCAACAAACTACAATAAAATTGCACAAAAATTTCGCCAAAAATTTACTAAAAATTTTTCAGGATATTAGTCATTTTCATCAATAAAATATTAGACTTCCCAATACCACTTATCGCACTTACTTCACATAATATCTTATTATGTAAAAACTTCATTTATATTGTTATATCCATATATCTCCAATAATATACCAATATGCTAGGAATTTGTCCAAAAAGATTGCCACTACAAGAATTAACAAATGAATTGCAAAATCGAAAAGTTGATTATGGAAATCAAAATAAAAGACAAAAATTAGTAGAAATTTTGGATAAAGAATTGACACATGAAACCTTGGAAAAGAAAGGTAATTACATTATTATTTGTGATACTTCACCTGTTATGAAATTTTTTTAACTTCATTTTATATTTAGAATCATGTTTGAGAAATCGTAGTATGTTGCATAAAGAATATACTACAAGGTAAATCTGGTAACATTTTTTTTCAAAGAGTCTACATAAATTGAATATTTGTGCATTGTAGACTTTCAGATATAACTGAATTTCCATTATCAAGTGGTTGGGCAATGAAAGAAGTTCAAAAATATGGAAAAAAAGGTGGAGGAAAACGTATAAAAAAAAGTATTTCAGCTGTTTTAGAAGAGTGTTTTTTGGCTGGAAATGTTGACAAGAGTTACCGAATGACTGCTCAAGATATGTGGAATTTATTGACTTTAAAAGCACAAGAAGGAGAAATTGAGAGTTCAGACATACCGAAAGTAACTACTATACAAGGCTGGATAACCCGTTACGCAGTACAGTTACGTGAAAAAAGTGCCCAAATGGTACTTGAAGAAGCTTAAAACCAGAGTATATTTACACTTCAAGTACTTATAGTATAGTAATTTTAGGCGAGAATCTGGTGAAGCGTCAAATAAAAATAAAAAATTTTTTAAGAAAATTTTTTTAAAAAATATATTATTAATAACTTCACACTAAATGTCATGTATTACAAACGCTTTACTAAATTTAAATTAAGGTTAACCATAGTTACTCAAGGATGGAAAACTGTGTTCTACTAAAAATTGATTAATGATCGACAAAAATTTGCACCAAAATTGAATATAAATTTTTTGCAGTTGACTCACGTATCACGAATTAATGCTTTTAAAAAAAGAAAAAATGTATTTGTAACAGCCTGTTACATATCTTATTTGTAACATCTTTTTTTTATTTTTTTTTAATAATAAATTTAATATGTGTTTCACAAATAAAATTTTTATATGCAAAATTTAATTTGGAAAACTTTTACTTAATGTACTTAAGACAGTTTCATAGACAAAATTTTAAGTTATAAGCAGTTTCTTGAAATTTTTTAAAAAATTCTTTTGTCTTAGTTACACAACTGATCTTTTGTTTTTGTTTACATTACATCTGATCTTAAATTTTAATTGGATAAAATTGGGGTTGTTACAAATAAGACGCGTAACAGACTGTTACAATTAGATTTATCCTTAAAAAAAATTTTTTTATTATTGTAATTTTAATTCTTATTTATTTTATTACAGGTTTTTTTGGACGTTCTGTGTTATTTTATTTACTACCTTGATGAGATTATGTACCATATCTTTAAAGAGTTATAACTATAGATAAACATGCTGAGTTTAGATAATTTTAGTATTATAAAAAAAAGTCTTGTTTGTCCTCTTAGAATATTAAAAATTATTTAAATTGGATTATAGGAAACTTGGATAATAATTTTTGAGCATATTATAAAATTTATTTATAGTTTTCGTGATTTCTCGGTCTCCTGTTATTCATTTTGAACAATTTTACTTTATAAAAATAGATATAATGGTTGTTTTCAAGTGGTTTATAAAATAATTCTATTTATTATGAAATTTGTGTGATTAAAATTATAAAATTTTTTTTCTTTGAATTCTTTTAACGAAATTTTTTTAAAGTTCGTATTTATTGATCACTACGCACATGAAATTTGACCAATAAACAGACTTTAGCTATGGTGATAAATGTGATAATAATCGACAACCCACAGGTGACATAATTGAAGTAAGACAAATCGGCCTATATGAATCTTAACTATCCTTCATATATTGGCATGTGTGTTCTCGATCTTAGTAAGCTGTGCATGTATCAATTTTACTATGATACTCTCAAGGCTAAATATAAGGATAAGGTACGATTATGCTATACTGATACAGATTCACTTTTTATGCAAATTTAAACTGAGAACATCAACTGATCAACACAGATCTTATAAATATGACAGACCAATTTGATTTCAGTGATTATTTTATTGATTATTCTAATTCGTTAGGCAATAGAAGAGAAAAGA